CTGGGGCGGGCGGCGAGCTGAGGGACACGGCCCAGCCGTGAGGAGACGTGGTCGGGAGCTGGGGGGCATGGCCGAGAGCTGAGGGATCATGGCCGGACTGAGGGGATATGGTGGGGCGGTGAGGGGACAGGGCCGCCGCTGAGGGGACACGGCCGGGAGCTGAGGGGACAGGGCCGGGACCTGAGGGGACATGGCTGGGCTGAGAGCGAAGGGGAAAGGGGTGACAGGCGGGGCCTGAGAGGGAGTGCGGGAAGCGGCAAAGGGAGGCTGGAGCAGACTGGTGAGGGACACCCTCAGAGATGTGTTCGAGTCTGGGCCTCTCACTGTAGGAAGGACATGAAGGGCCTGGAGCACAGGTGTGATGAGTGGCTGGGGGGGCTCAGCCTGGAGAAAAGGAGACTCAGGGGGGACATTTTTTCTCTCCACAACTCCCTGTCGGGAGGGTGAGCTGGTTGGGGGTTCAGGCTCAGCTCCCAGGGAACAAGGGACAGAACAAGAACAAGAGGACAGCCTCAGGTTGCACCAGGGGAGGTTTAGATGGGATATTAGGAAAAGGTTTTTCTAAAAAGAGGTGATTAAACATTAGAACATGCTGCCCAGGTTGGTGGTGGAATCCCCATCCCTGGAGGTGGTATTCAGTGCTCTGGTTGACAAGGTGGTGATTGGTCACAGGTTGGACTTGATGATCTTGGAGGTCTTTCCCATCCTAAATGGTCCTGTGATTCTCTGAGCCTGTGTGCCCGTGTCTCTGAAATTCATGGTCATGTCTGTTCCTTAACCAGGACATTGCAAGGGTCAAGTTAAAGTGTTTTATTGATAACAAAAAATCCGTTTTAGTCTCATGCATTCTTAAATCCGTGTTTTGTTTCTCAAGAGGTGTTTGTGGTAACTTGTCTTGTAATCTGAAGGGAAGTGTAAGGGTTGATTATCATTATATAGGAAGTAATCCCAGAGAACTTTCTGTTGACTCAAAGTGTTTCTGTTTATATTTGTGTTGTTGTCTCAATACAAATATTTTGAACCAAGAAACTGTTGCAAACTTTTTATTCTACATATTTTATCTTGGTGCTGGAATGAAAGTGAAATTAATAAATGGTAAATGCGATGGTTTTTGTTCTCTCTACTTAAAAATGCAAAATTTAACCATGGTATGACAAAAGATAGAAAGAAAAAGAATTGTTAATAATTGTTGCAGTCTCAGGAATACCTTGAGGAAATACAGACGTCTTCCTATTTATAATAGGTTGTGTTTTTTCACTTGTGATTTTGCCAAACAATGTCTAACTAAGCTATCCATACTGGCTAATATTCACAGATACATGAAAATATGTTTTCTATATTTGTCTTGATTTATACTAGAAGAGGTTAAACACAATGTGTTTATGGCTAAAGCATTTTAAACAGGTCCCAAGTATGTGAATCATAAGAGAAGCAGAAGACTAATCAATACTTTAAAGTTGAATAGTGTCTTTAAGATCCTTTTTTTTCCAAGATCACCTTTGCTAACTTAATTCTGCCAGCTAAAGCATAATTCTCAATCATATTCCACATTGTGACTATCCAAATTACATTAAAGAGAATTCTGCACTTAAATGTAAAGGGTTTTCTTTACATCTTCATTTTATAAACATTTTCTTTTTCAACAGAGCTAAAATTTGAACCTGGTTTTCTGTCTTACTAAATCCTGCTACTTGCAGTGGAGTCTTTCTGAGGCTGTTCACAGCAAGTAAATTTGCTTTTTCCACTTGTGCCCAGTTGAGGAGGGCACTGACAGCACTGAGGTGCCCAGCCCTGCAGGCACAGTGCAGGGCAGTGTCCCTGCTGCTGTCTGAGGCATTGATGGCAGCCCCATGGCTCAGGAGAAGATTTATCAGCTCTCCATGTCCATACTCTGCTGCAATATGCAGAGCTGTCTTCCTCCAAACATTTCTGTCATCAATATTTTTATTTTTCCTGGAGGCCAGGAGAGCTTTTACGATGTCTGTGTTTCCTTTCATGGTGGCATAGTGCAGTGGGGTGCATCCATCCATGTCCTTAGCTCCAGTTCTCCCTTTGTTAGCCAACAGCACTTCCACGATGCTGAGGTGTCCTCTCAGAGCTGCAGCATGCAGGGGAGTCTTCTTCTCCTTGTCCTGTGTGTTGGGATCAGCTCGGGCCTTCAGGAGCATCTCTGCCAGTGTTTTGTGTCCCTGCTCAGCAGCCAGGTGTAAAGGGGACTTTGCCTGCTTGTCCTGAGCATTAACATGAGCTTTGTGGTGCAGCAGCTGTCGGGCAACATCAGTGTGACCTCTCTGACTTGCCATGTGCAGGGGAGTAACAAAGTCTTTAGTGACAGCATTAATCCTGGCCCCAGCATTGACTAAAAGACCAACGAGTGCTCCGTTATTCTGGAGCGCAGCAACATGGAGCGGGGTTTCCTCGGCTCGGTTCCTGAGGTTTGTGTCCATCCCCTTGCTCAGGAGCAGACCTGCGATGGAAGCAGCCCCAGCCTGCACTGCCAAGTGCAAAGCTGTGTCTGCAGCAGGAGTCCTTAGTCCCAAGTTTGCTCCTTTTTCTATCAGAACTTCTGCTGACTCTGCTTTGCCCATTTCACAGGCCAGCAGCAAAGGAGTGAAATGCATTTTGTTGTGGGCATTGATATCTGTGCCTCTGTCAATCAAAGCTGCTACAACACTGTGCAGATTCTTCTGTACAGCTCTAAAAAGAGCTGACTCCATGATGTCAGCAGGCAGATCTTTAGAATATTCCAGTATTATTTTGAAGATGGATGGGTGTTTGCTGTTAAAGGCTCTTTCAACCATGCTGGAATCAACAGTGGCTCCGGCTTCTAGAAGCACTTTTGCAGTGTTTTCAGATCCCTGAGAAACAGCATAACTGAGAGCACTCTGTCCTCTCTCATCCTTTCCTTCAGTGGAGGCACCAGCCTCTAAAAGCATTTTGGCCAGGGTGCTCTCATCTCTAAGAGCTGCCATGTGTAAAAAGTTGTGCTGATTCCTGCAGTTCATTGCCTCTTCTTTCAGGAACATCTTCAATATGTGGCTGTGGTTATTCTCTGCAGCCCAGTGAAGTGGTGTTTTGCCTTCCATATCCAGAGCGTGCATGGAAGCACCACCCCGGAGAAGCACCTGGACTGCACCTCCATGGCCTTTCTCAGCAGCCCTGTGCAGGGCTGTTCTCCCTTTCCCATCCTTCACTCCTGTCCTTGCACCTTTGCTGAGCAAATACTCCATGATGGATAGATGGCCATGAGCAGCTGCAACATGCAGAAGTGTTTCATTGGAATGGTTGAGCACATTGAGATCACTATCCTTCAGTGTTTTCTCTAACTCTGGAAGGAAGCCTTTAGCAACTGCAGCAAAGATGTGGACAGCAGCAGGATCTTTTCTAGGTTTTGTTACCCTTGAAAGTGGAGTTACTTTTCCTTTCTTCTTAATAACCTCTCTGTACTTTTCTCCCCCAGGTCTGTCATTTTTGCCCTGGTGCTGTTCGCTGCTATTTGCAAACCAAACTTTATCTTTTTCAAGTAAATACCAAACCAACCGTCTTCTGGCATCTCCAATGCTTTCATTTACTTCACTGACGTATTTTCTTATCTCACTGTAAAGTTTTGGCTCCACTTGCTTTAAACATGGATAAAAAAAGAGCCTGCAGGCTCGTTCACCTTGAGAAATTAGCATGTCTAAAACTCGAGAGTTCTTTGCTGTTCGTGTCCTGTAGAAACTCAGGACTAGCTTTTTTTCTGGAGTGAAAATACCATTTTCAATCAGCCAGTGCAGGAGCTGGTCTGGGTCATTTATGCCTTGTACAAGTTCTTCTTTTTTAGTCCTTATGACTTCAATTGCGTATGGATTTGTAAACAGGCTGCTTGAATGCATGACCATGTTGCTAATCAAAAAAAGTAAATTGAGGTATTGTTTGACAGTAAATAGGAAATAGCAAAGCAGGCTCACATAATTTCAGTCTTTTCATAGAACTATGAACCAACAACAATTGTAGATCAGTGATAAATCTTTAAAGAAATCAAAACTCCCTCACCTTTAAGTTTCTAGCTGTTAGGAGTCCTTTGATCTTCTCTGTTCTTCCTTAGCAACAAATACAGCTTAATAACAAAACAAAAGTCTATGATATGTAAAGATATTTCACTTGAAAGCCTTCTTCCAGATTTTTAATGCTTAATTAGGGATTTTTAGAATGGTTTTGTGAATCTGGTATTTGAATAGAAGGTAGCTGTTAGTCGAGTTTCTCTGTTCCTCTGGCCAAGCTGGTTCCTAAATGACCAGTCAATTAAACATGACAAAAGAAAATTCATAGTTACTGTTGCCATGATCACACACCTTGTATGATCTGAAATGAAAGAGTGTACACTGCCAGCTATGCAGGTGAAAACCCTATAATGCAATGAAATAAAAGCATAAAGACCGAGATAAAAATAAACTGTATAAGCAGCTGGTTATAAAAAGTGATCCAGCCTTTCTAATATGAGCTACAATTCCAGTCAGGGGTATATTTAAGGCCCTTTAGCTTGTCATTCCTGCTCTAACCCAGAGTCTGTCTGGAAGTTAATTCTTTTACATGAGGTGAATCAAGGCGTGTGATTCAGAGTGCAACATTTAAAGTATAATTAGAGCTTAGAATTTGTGTAGTCTTCCATATGGATGTAGGACCTTGGGATCTAGCTGTAATTAATTTAACTTATTGGTATTTAAATTCCCTATAGAGGAGAAGGAAATAAAATAGTAATTATCCACACATTTTGAAACCACTTGAGAGAGAAATTGAGATTACAGAGTTTGGGAAAAGCAGGAGGTAAAATGAGCTGAAAAGCTGAAAGCTTGACCTTATTTAAGCAAATGGGAAATTTTGCCATGAGTTTCTTAGTTCAGTGCCCTTTCTGCTGGGTCCTGCTCCCTTTGCATGTATTTTCTTTAATAGTATGTACAAGGTGACTGATAAGATTTTTAATTTTTCACTGTTGACTTTAACTTTATAAGTAAGGTCGCAAAATTTATTCTATTAAAAAAAAAGTTTTATTGAAGAAATAGCTGGGAAAGGCAAGACTTTTAATATATATTTTGAAAGCCAGCCAGTTACCAAGTCAGCGAATTTGACAGCCAATTTAAGAGCCCAGTAATTCCTCTGAAATGCAAAGAAGGGCACTACACCAAGAATAGCAAAACCTTTGTCATTTAGTTAATGATTGTTAACTCATAGCATGGAAGACCATGGTTTAATGTGGACTGAGTGGTGTTCCCAAATCTGCCCCTGACTCAGCCTGTAAGCTGCAAATTATTTAGTCTTCAGATTTGACTTAATGAAGTCCTGAAGATCTCTGTGCCTTGAGTAAATGAGTCCTTTGGGGAAGTGGGATCTTTATGTTGTCATTGTTATTCTTCCCCTCCGAAAGAGAGATAACAGTCCTTGATCACCTTCGCAGGAAAGTTCTGAGCTCTGGCAGTGAAAAATGTTACCTGAGTGCTGAGCAGAGCTACTATAGATGGCACAAGAATTTTTTGAACTCCTGAAAGGAATAAAAAAAGAAATGATGGTATTTTTTAAGATTCCATTAGTATGGCATTATTAATTTCCCAGTGAATTAGGAATTCCCTAACACAGGAATTAAGGAATACAGGAATTTCCCTAGTAAGCAGGTCCTAGTAGAGATGGAAGGGTGCAGTTCTCCTCCCTGGCCTTGAGGAGGAACATTTGGACAATATTTGCAGGCAGCATCTCTTTCAGAGCCACTTCACTTTATTTTGGAAAGTAGCAAGCAGCAAATGATGTGTTATGAGATGTAAATCCCAGTCCTCAAAATATAATTATGCATATTTCTTAAAAAAAATTTCTCATTTTAAATATGTGACTTATGAAGAAATTCTGTCTTAAAACAAGAATCATATTTGGCAAGAAAATTTTGGATGCTTTTTATATAGATTTGTTTTAAGAAATTATGCTTTAAAAGCCTTTATTTTTTAATTATTATTTTAACCACTTTTAGAATTAAACATTTCTTCAAACAACAACTTCACTAAGAGATTCATAATTGGCTATTTGAAGTGTGCTTTTTTGTTTATATCTTTTTCACATACTAACACACTTTATTTGACATGTAAATGTTTTAGAGAAGGGAAAAATATTAAGGCTCAACACCTCTTCTCTTTTAATTAACTGCATGAGACCACAAATGTGTCAGATCATCAGTAAACTCTGCATTAAAAAAAAAATTGTCGGTATTTAATATTCCTGGAGATCTATGAAAACAAGTAATTTGGAGAGAAGGAAGAGGCAAATCTTGGGGCTTCTTTGTTATCTTCTGTATTTAGTTGTTGTCAGAGGAGCAAAAGGTATTTCACAGACCATTTTTATTTCTGCTGGCTTCTTTAGCTCCATGAATCCAAGGACAGGATTTTTAGGTTATTTTAAAGGGCTATTTATTACGTTATTTTAAAAAGAAAATTGTGAGCTTTACTAAATTTGAAGGGCAGGATTTCCCTTGATAGGAAAGACATCGATTTTGGCCCCTGCTGAATAAGTGTCTGTGCAGGGAACTGTTTAAATCTGGCTATAGTTGGGACACTTGAGTCAGTTATTCCTGACATGCAATCTCAGTTTTGCTCCTAACTTGTGTCCTTGGGCAAATCCCTTAATCCCTGTTCCCTGTTTACACAAGCATTAAAAAAGGAAATTTTTTTTTCTACCTCACAGACACGTCCTTAGTGTTTATTACTGTTGGTGCAGTGCTTTGAAGTTATAGAGTGCTTTGAAGTTTTTGTCCTTTGAAGTATTGTTTTCTGACTTCTCAGCGATGAACATTTATTTCTTAAATTAAGGCATGCCCGTGTTCTCTAGCTGATTTTATATTGCCATGTCATCATCAAATATACATTTAATTTTCTCTATTTTAATTTCTCGAAGATGAAAGCGACCCAAAGTACACCTTGAGTGCGGTGGAAAGAGCCTGTGAGGGGATGTGGCTGCAGGACTGAGACACCTGCAGAGGTCACCATTCCTCCACCGAGGCTCTTACTGAGCTGGCTCTTGGGAACGCTGTGAATAACCAGCCTGGAAGAGATAATACAGCCAACATCATTATCTAAACATCGTGAGGGGTGCAGAAATACCTCTGGGTAATCAAGACATTTTCCTTAATAAACACGGCTCATGAATAGAGCTCTGTTTTGGATAACCAGAAATCTGGTGGAACTATATTTAGGCAGAGCTGGATTGAGAAACAGCAGTGCTGGAATAGTTCATGGTGGTGATTACAGTGAGTTTCACTCGTTAGAACATTGGGAGGGCTGAGCAGTCGGGATGCCTGCAAGAGGCAAAGTGCAGTGCTTGGTTTTGCCTAAAGATGAGCTGCAGTAAATGAGGGAAATCCAAAGGGGAGCTTTGATGCTGAGTGATGAGTTTGTGTTGGTCACATTTCTGTGGAGAGCAGGCTCGGGGCCTTCCTGGCTGCTGTTTAGATGGGAGGTGTTCCCTGAGGAAGTGCTATCCCCAGAGGTGCAGGCAGAACAGGGGTCAGGGGCATGAGTGGGGGCTGCTAAGGTGGGGAAAGCTGATTTGGGCAGTGTGACTGTGTTCTATGCCTGACTCAGGCTCCCATCCCATCCCATCCCATCCCATCCCATCCCATCCCATCCCATCCCGCACACCTCTTGGTAGCACACAGCCACCCCTGCACAGCCTGTGGCAGGCACAGTGCTTGAAAGAGAGATCTGCTGAAGCCACAGCTTCCCACATTTGCCCACTGCTCCTGGATGCTTTCAAAATACTGATAATGTGACAGCTGGTATAATACTCCAGGTATTTTATTCTATTTCCAAAACAAGCCACAGTCTTATCTCAGCACTGTAGGGCTGTTTCCTCAGGCATAAACAAATGAAGGTCACGCTAAGCGCTGCACCCATGCAGTGCAAACTGTTCTCTTTCCCAAAGATTAATGAGCACTTCCATGAAGTTCCCAAGCTGGGCTGAGTAGACAATGCACATCTGCAAAGTGCCACTCATGGCTGCAAATGCCAGCAGAGCAGGCTGGCTGCATCCAGCTCTAGGAATGAGGTTTAACAAATACATAACTCAGCCAAAGTGAGGATTAGGTTTGTTTTCCATTCATAAGTGAATTTAAGAAGAGTGACCAAACTACTTAGGAGCCATTTTTTGTGCCATTCAGGTTTTGAATAATTAGATTTAAAGTATTTTTCCAAAGTTCTTAATGGCATTAATTCCCAGGTTGTTTTCTAAAAAACTACATGGTGGAGGTTAAAAGAAAAAAAAAGTTGCAAGTTCAGCTTCACAGAAGTAAAGAAAAAAAAACATTCTTGTTTCAGAACATAATAAATAAAATAAAAGTTGGTTTGAAAGAAACAGAAAAAATGTTCTGATATGATGAATGATATATTTAGCTACCGCAACTTTCATAATGCAAAGTTAAAAAAAAAATACAATTTCTGTGTCTAACTGATGAGAATTACTGGATTTGTTTCTGTACATATTTGTTCTGTGGACATATTTACTCTTACAAGCTTAATTTAAATTTAAGAACTAACGGTATGTCAATCTGTTGACTAAACCTGGAAGCTAACTGGTTGAAAGCTGTACCAGTATCATTTAACTTATATATAATTTTAGAGCTTTAAATGTGTCCTTTCAGAGCAAGGCTAACAGGAAACAGCTATGGCAAAACACAAGCCCTCCTATCATTAGGATAAAATGTAAATGATGTAAAATTATTGAGTTACTAAATGTTGAGGCAGCTTCTGGGATCAGCAAAACCAAATGGAGAGAGGGAGGGGAGTTTCCTCCAAAATGGGCAGATTTTTTTGCATTATAAAACAAACAAACCCTTGTGGTTTTGAGTCAGGAACATGCACTTTGTCAGTGAAATCTTACAAAAGAAAATATTAGAATAATTATAGAAAAAATTATAGAAGCTCTGTAACTGGTGAAGACTGAGGATCTTCCTCTCAGCCCCAGCATTGCTCCCAGGAGGGTGTGGTGCTGTCACTGCATCTCCCACAGAAGCCTTTTGGCCAAATTTGCTTTGTAGAGGTAGAGGACTTAGTGAAAACTGTTCTGAATTTACACCAGTAAAAAACAGCATTTTGTTCTCAGTGATCGTAAAAATCTATCACCAGTACATCTTCACTGTCCTATCTGAATCTCTCTATAGCACTTTCCTAGTCTTAAGACAATTGAAATTGGTCAAGGGGCTAGGTTGTAACTACATTTTTTAAAATATTGGTATTCTTTTCCTTCCTTCTTCTGGGAAAAAAATATATGGAAACAACTGCTTGTTCATTTATTTATTCCATTTGCCTTTATTATCATTTAGTTTTACTCCCACCTGATCAGCTGGTTAAAATAATCTTGGATTTTTAGTTGCATTCAGTTTATGTTTGTTATACATCAAAATGAAATTTGACTTTCCTGCTGTAGCAGAAAATCACAGGCATGTAATTGTTTCTTTCTTATTAATGTTTTAGTCTGTTCTTAGTTCTGTAATTTGGTATCTTTTGCTCAGTCTCACAGTATTTCTCATTCAGAGGGATATAGAGCTGATTCTTTTATGTTATCTTCCCTTCCCAGTCCTGGCAGTTTCCCCTGTCCTCTGAATGCTCCGCCTTTAACTGACTATTTTGGTTCCTCCAGAAAGCGTCTTCTTGTATGTC